AGACACTAGGCATTTTTGTTTTTATTTTTTTTGGGGGGGGGGGGGGTGGGTTCCGCCACCCCCCCCGCCCCGCAGAGGAGGTGTATTTTTTTCTCTTTCTCACAGCGCGCGGGGAATTTTTTTCTCCCCCCCTCACCCTCTTTTTTTTTCCTTCACGCTCCTCCCCCTTGGGCACTCTCTAACACCCCTTTTCTAACAAAAAAACCTCTCTGGGGGGTGAGGACCCCGAAATTTTTTTTGTCTGAGAAAAAAGAGGGCCAATAAAATTTTTTCTGGTATTTCCACCCTTTTTCTTTCCTCTCTTTTCCTTTTTTCTGGGGGGGCCAAAAAAAATTTCCCCCCCCCTCCCTCCCCACAAAAAAAGCCCCCACTCCCCCTCCTTCTTCCCCGCTGTAAAAAGTTATAAGCCTTCCCCGTTTTTTTTTCCCCCCCCCCCCCTTTTTTTTTATCCGAAGGGGGTTTCTCCCCCCCCCCCCCCCCGCGTTTTTTTTTTTTAAAAATCTCCCCCTTTTTTCCCCCCCCGGGGGGGGGGGGGGGGGGGGGGGTGGGTTGGTGGTTGGAGTAGAGAGGAGGTTCTTTTGACGGTCTCCCCTTCAATAGACGGTGATCTAGAATGGGATGAACCTCGCCGAATGGATAAGGGGAAGTTAAGAGCACTGAAACGGGTGAGGAAGACGGTCTTAGTCGGGCAATTTCAGGGTGGCACCGAGATCATATTAACCAGTTAGGGGACAAGACCGTCGAAGGAGAACCAGCTAATTTGTGCAGGCAACTCTGGCCTGTAAAAATTGAAGGAAACCTCTGTGAGCCCTGCACTGTAAACACATGGGCAGACTGCAGATCACAACCCCATTAGATAGATTCCTTCTTTGTAAGGTTAGAAAACACAACCTCCTCCTCACGCATGTTATTGTGTACCCAAATATCCTATCTTCTTCCCACTCTTCGATTGGCTGCTTAGGTAACCCTTCCAGAAGATGTGGCTAGTGGGGGTTGGCTGTGGCTTTGGTGGTTGAATCGTGCGCCACAGAGGGCTCGATCCCTTAGTAAGATTCTAGGCTTAAAAGGAGCACCGCGGAACCGTGGATCACACTCGTCGCTCAAAAGTTTCTTTGAGGAAAATATGAGGTAATTGCGGATGCAATTAACCTTGGTGCAATCCATGGAATGCTTGGCCTATATTTATTTCCAGGCCAGGCAACTTTCTTTGTTTTGGACGCGGGTAGTTTAGTTTAGTTATTTAGGAATATACGCCGACACTCCATTTTCCTTGTTATCAAGGATGGTTTACGTAAGGTGTCACGCCCTCTTTTGCGCCGTTTCGAAATTGACAGCATATCACTGGTGTGATTGGCAAGCCCTTCCTGCAGCCTCGATCTCATCCGGCTGGCGTCAAATTTGGGCCCAATTTCCACATAACTTCAGTTGATTGGCCGATTTGCGTTTCAAGAACAAAGGTAAACTAACCTCCCCCCACCGGTCCATCGGTGATTTGCAAGTTCTCCGCAATTGCCCTGCAAAATCAAGACGATGCTTTCTAGTAATCTTTGCCTAGATTCTCAAACGGGCCGTCGCTGCCTGTCAACTATAACGGGGGGAAGGCGGGTTAGAAAACCTGGGCATTCTGAACTTAACAATCATGATCACAAGTTATTTCTCAGCCCAGCCAGAAAAGAAGAATAAAATTAAAAATAAAATTCAAGAAGGCCAGAGATAAACAAGTTATTTAAAGACGGAATTTGATGGATTGAACATTTGACCGAGGCGAAAGAATCAATCAATCACCAAAGAGAATAGAGAAAAAAAAAACAAAAAAAAAAAAAAAAAAAAAACAAGAGAGGGAACAGAGAAAGGCAACAATACCCCAGACAAGGCTTTTTGGTTCGGTCATGTTCCCAAGGGTGCAGCATGTTTCATGAACTGAAAAGCTGTACACCTATTGGGCAATTGGACATCATGCAAGCGTTGGCATCCCACGTCCCTTTGAGGTTTCGTGTGGTTCTTCTTGTTTCACAACAGGGGTCTTTTCTCTTGTTTATTTCTATACATCATCTTCTTCATGTGAGTTGAGTGACATGAGTTTAAACTGTGGGGATGGATGTTAGTGTAGTTGGTGAGATAAAAGTCCTTATGGCGTGCGTAATGGGATGTTGTAGAGAGGATATTCTGATCCAAGAGATGCGCTGCGTGAGGAGTACGTCGGTGTCTCTTTCTTGCTGCGTTACTATATGAGTTTATTGATTCGTGGGTTGGCACTGGTTGTCTCTCATCAGAGGACTGGATCGGGCTATCAGAGCTACTCCGTAGTCAGAACAGTGCTCCCACCCCCCCCCCCCCCCAAGGGATTAGCAGATCAAAGCCATTCTTCCTCATGTAATTGGATGCTAATTTCTCTTGCTATACTACTAACTCTACACGGTGGAGATAAATGAAGGTTTCTAGAGCAAAGAGGCTAGATCATGATGTGCCCTCGAAAGCGCCGAGCCAGACGTTGTGTGGACTCTGTGGAGGCGGTTTTGAGAGAGCACAAAGCCATAATAAGTCCCATGGGACAAGAGCTAGAATCACGGGCAAAGGAGTTTCTGCGACACTTAACGGTGAACTGTTGAGGAAAGCAAAGTATATTTGCAGGACATTTGAATCTATAGCGGTCCGGATCCAGATGAGAAGTTCAGGTGGGCAGTTCAAGGAAACTGTAAATTCTGGCCCCTGCCACGATGGCACCATTTTTTGACCCAGGTCTTGTTCTCAAGTTGAATGATGTTGATTGATTGGTGAGTTGGCCGTGCGACCGCGAATTAGATGCTCTTTGTAAAATCCCGTGCTTGGAGTATTATTCGTTATATGATCCAAGCAGGCTGGGGTCGGTTACTGTTTGACAGACCGGCTGTTTTGTATTTAATTGGAGCATTAGCCTGGGGGGTTAAGTTGACAGGAGAGACAAGATCTACTCA